CGGCCCGCTCGGCGCCGCGGGCTTCTCGGCGAACCCGCCGCCGGCCCCACCCTCCCCCGGGGCGGTCGGCTCTGAGGGGGTGGCCGGGGGCTGCCGCTGGCGTGTGAGGCGCGGCGGGGCCCTGCCTCTGCAGGCCCCAGCCCCGCCCGCCGCGGGGGGTCGGTGCCTGGCCTGGCGGAGGCGGAGGGTAGGCGGCTTCCCGGCTTCCCGCTGGGGGATGCTCGGCGGCAGCCGCAGGCCTGTGGCGGCGGTAGGGGGAGGGGCATTGCCCGGGCCCAGCGGGAAGGGAGGGGGGCAATGCCCTGTTTTCCCCCCCTCCCCGGTGGGGGAGGGAGCAGGGCTTTGGCCTGGCATCACCCCCGGGGGATGCGGGTTTGGTCCAGGATGTGGGGGATGACGACAGCGTTCACGGAGCATCCCCGTTCGCACACCGAATCGAGCTTCCTGCCGAGCCCTGCCCTCCCCCGCGGGGCTGTGCAGGGCGGCGGTGGGGGGTTACTGGGGCGAGAGGCTTTCGGCAGCGCCGGTCCTGGCTCGGGGCGGGGGGGGGCCGCAGTTATGCGGTCTTACGTGGCTGGGTGACCCCGGAGCTGGTTGTCGCCCCTTGCTGTTACTCAGCAGTTCTCGTCTGTCTGAATCATAAGACGTTGGTTTCCGTTTTGCCTGGGTGATGGCTGTGCTGCAGGTTTGACGACTGTTTCATACATTTGGTAATATTACAAAACGAAAAAAGGGTGCTTCGGGATGTGTGCATAATTGGACGTGCTGCTCACGAATACCCTTTTTCTGTGTAAAACGGAAGTACTGGGTGCTGTTACGAGCTGTTCTGAGCATCATAGGTTTATAATACCTTGTTAACGTGGTTTGGGGCCCTCAGGCTCTTAAACTTACAGTTGAGGCTTTGGAAATCGGCATACTGCTTAAGAAAATGTATGTTATCATTGTCGATAGGATAACAGCCTGTTGGTAATTACACCCTGATACATCCTTGGTTTTAATTCCGCTGTGAAGAGTACACGTGTTTAACCCTGATGTCTTTCCTGATATATGCTGGAATTTAATTGCCCTCTAATTCTAGCCTGTCTTTTTATTTCTTTGACACAATGCCTTATGTGTCCCATATATTCAGGTGTTTTAGAAATGAATGCAGCACCCATATGGTTTTTTAGACTCATGAACATCTAAGGGGGCAGTTCGGTGTCAAATACTGTAATTAGAATTTTGCTTTAATATTTAGTTCTGGAACGTTAAAGCTAACGTGAGTTCGGTTTAACTTTTCAGTCAGATGGTGTGCTGCTGGTCATTACTCAACACGTAACAGTGAAGTGAAAGTAGAACAGTTCAAATTTGACACTTGAGAATAACAAGGTCAGGGTTATTTTGCCTTTTAAATGTCGAAGAGTTGGCATCTTTGCTCATAACTTTGCTTATATAAGATAAAAGCTATTTGAAGCTGTGAAATTGTCTTTAGGTTGAAATTAATTTGCGTATTTTCAGGACTTACAATAACATTAAGGAATGGAAACTGGGTTTATATACACATGCATCTACACACGAATATATGTATTTTTAAAATGGACTGATTAATTTGTTTACATTTGGCCTGTTTAGCATCTTCCAGCTTGTTGTTATATTTTTTTCTTGATTAAAGTATATTACTAAATGAGGAAGAACCCAATGATTTAACTGCCAGAATTCAGAAGAATTTCTTCAAAAAAGGGTAATCTTAAATGCTCAGAAGTGTCTCCTGGTTAAGGGTCGTGGGAAGGATTTCAGGGAAGGATTACAGCCATTCATATGTACTTGTTTGTAAAAATTTCAGACCTTAAACTTGGCCAGGCAGCTTTTCATAAATTTATATTAATTCATTTAATTGAAAAGCTATTTTCCTACCTTTACTGTCTTTGCTGTTTATACCTTTCTGAAGTAATAATCTGTTACCTTGTCTGTGTACTGTGGTCATACAAGTAATGTAAGCTTTATGTTGTTGTTGCTTCTTGAGGAGAGGTAGATCAGAGCCATCAGGACCATGTGGTATGGTAACTTGGGAAGGAGTCAGTCATATGAATACTGGGCTTTGTGCTCTCAGAAATTCTTTCCCTACTAGTTGCTTGCAGGGAAGACTTTAGATTTGTCAGGCATGTGGTTTTGAAAAAACAGGATGAGAAAAGATATTAAAGAAAGAAACTCTTTGCTGCCTGTCAGTGGATGGGCTTCCAGCCAGGTCACTGGTATGGTGGTACTTTAGTTGTTCTCTGATAACTGGGGAGCATGAGAGGATATTTTTGGGATGTTTTTTCTTTTAAAGGGTAGGGGAAGGGTGTAAACCTTGAGGCACTAAGGGTGTCTCAGTCTGTCAGCTATCGTGCTGGGGTATGCCCTTCTGCTTTAGGAATAGGTGGAGGCAGAGAAGTGTATGCTGTCATGTTGATGGTGGAAGACCTACTTCACTAGTGACATAAATTCCACAAGGATATTGCATCTACAGGGTTAAATTAAATAGAAGTCACTCTTAAAAATCTTTAATTCTTTAGTGTCTGAATACTTTCAGTGAATTGAATTAGATGAGGTCTGGGGAAATTCTGGAGTAACTGGTATTAAATACTAGTTACTTTTGATGATTCTCATCTGATGGTGTTTAGAGATTGGGAGACAGCCGAGGTGTTTCTCTGGGAGGTCAGGAGTGCTGCTCCCACAGCTGAGTTGGTGCCTGCCCGAGGTCGGGAGCAGTTCCAGGTCCAGAATAGGCAAAACAAGTGTCTCCTCAGTAACGCTTCTGGTGCTGTCCTGCCCAGGGGGCTGCATGTCGGAAGAGGCTAGGAGCAAAGGCAAGGTTTTGAAGTGAAGCATGATTTGATGTGGTTTTTAATGCTAAGCCAAGGTGTAGCTTCTTCCTTTTTGATGTAGTTCATTGGTTTTCTTAATGTTTCTGCACCAATGCTTAAACACAGAAGTTGTTTAATGAGTAGGAACGTATTCCAAAAGTTCAGGTACTGCATCAAAAGATTGAAAAGGCAGAAATTGAGTTGCAACTAAAAATTTTTACTTGAATGCACTCTACTGCTCTAGCTGTACCCAGAAGTGTGGGGGTAAGAGCTGAGTACAGTGGAGTTTGAAGCTTAATTAGGCTGACATTTTACATTGATAATAATTCTTGTGTATCTAGTGAACATGGGGTAGAACCATTATCTGAAAGCCATCAGGTTTTTACACTGGTGTGTGGAAAAAACTTGCTGCCTCTCATTCAGTTCATCCACTTATCAGTTGTTGAATTTGCTGATGCTTAGCTCGTCCCTGTTGGCAAGAAGCTGCGGTTGGTCTCCAGGCAACGCAGGTCCGGTTGAGCATCTCTGTGCCTTGCTTGAAGAGATGAAAATTTTCCATTGCGG